TGATCAAGAATATATATACTTTGTGGGGTCTGCGATGATTCCTTCTGCCTGTTACATACTTTTACACAAAAACATTATACCCTGATTTCCCATTTTCAATGGGTTCAGGGTATAAAAAGTGGTGCTATTATTTTTTTCGGCATTTTTTCGGCTTTTTTGAGAATTTTTTGAATTATATAAAAACTATGAATATTTTTGTGATAATTCTTTTTTGCCGTAATAACTAATTCATTTCTGCTTATCTGAGTGAAAAAATTACATCAATACATTGATAAATGTGTCCAGGAGAACTCCTCAAACTCTGAATATGCAAGTGGTGCTATTTTATTTTTCGCAGCTGTATGTGTATATAGTGTATGTGCTGATATTATTATATGAGACATACTACAGTTTGATCAAACAGCCGAGTTCAAAACGCTTTTTCACAAATAAACTAAAATATATATGGATAATCCGAAGAACGTCGAGAATTGTTAAAACGCCGTTAATATACAATATATAATGAATAATTCAATATATTAATGGAAACCCGTTTCTGGTTCTAAAATCACCGAAACCAAAAATTATGGGCTCTGTGAACTGAATATAAACGAAAATGTTTGTAATTTATAGCAATGCCGTTCCATAAAAGGTTTGAGTATTTGATATAAATGTACTAAATTCGCTTTCGAATTGGCCAGACACAAACTAGTCGTAGCAGGAAGGTTTGTGTACTGGATACGCTACGACAACAATAAAAATGTAGCATACTTTTGAGGCTAACTGAAAACAAGTTTTTGCATAATTTAAGAATTCATTTGTTTTATTTAAATTTCTAGTTAACTAGTAACAAATTTTTCATATAATTTATTTGTGTCACTTATATAATATATAATGGTAAACAGTTTATTCATTTTCGCATCAGGTCTATTCGTCGTATCAGTTGGGCTAAACATTTGCGGTTTGCTTGATCCAGGACCTCAGGGCGCCGACGTATGTGTACATGGCCGGGCGACCCTTGGCGCCACAGCCGAATCCCCAGGAGACCACACCGAACAGCTTGCCATCGACAGTCAGTGGGCCGCCGGAGTCGCCCTGGCACGAGCTGACCTGTCCGCTGGGATGTCCTGCGCACACCATGCGATCCGTGAGTCCTGGAATGTTCTGGGCATTGCAGAAGTCGCGACTCCACAGCTGCACCTGGGCGAACTTGAGGCGATTCGGCAGCTGCAGATTCTGGTTGATGGCGCCGAAGCCGCTGATGGTGGCCAAGGTGTCCGCCGCGTAGTTGGCGTCGGCGTCGGCCAGCTGAATGGTCTGAACAGCGCCGCCCAGCCTGACGGGGCTGCTGAGGCGTATGAGCGACATGTCAAAGTCCTGCGTCTGCGGATTGTACTGCGGATGGATGATCAGCTGAGCGATGTCGAGCGTCTGGCCATTGCCAGCGGCCAGGTCCGTAGTGCCCACCACCGCCTTCATCTGGCTGGGGCTCTGGCCAATGGTGCAGTGGGCCGCGGTGACGATCATCGTGTCGGATATCAAGGAGCCGCCGCAATGGTGGCGTCCCCTCAACTGCAGCGACACCTGATGTGGAAACTGGCCCGGCGACGCGAACTGGCCGCCAATGATGCGGGGCACCTCCGCACACCTGGCTGGATGACCAGCCATGGCGAGCAGGAGCAGCAGCAGCGGAGTAAGTTCCTTGTAGCTTGAAGACATTGCAGAGGTGAAGTGTGTTGACGCTGTGGCTGAGCCGATGGTTTTATACCTGCCGGAGCACTCTAGGTGGGATTCTTTGCTGGCCTTATCGGGCTAGCAGCGGGAGCTTGGCCGACCCAGTTCCAGTTCCGTGTGCGAAATCGAAATCGTGCAGCGACCCCGCCCAAAACAAGGTCAGGCAACCTTGTCATTTAGCATAGTTTTATTTTTTGCAAAGAAGGCGAAATGATAAGGATTAAGTTAAATTGTTGTTTAAGAGTTTAGTAACTGGAGACCAATAAAATCATCCTAAACGTCACATGTACGTTTATCGGGCCATATAGCTCTTGGCCAAACGTAATCTTAGCTACGTTTACGCAAAGATAAACAAACCTCTTTAAAACATGAATTAAAATCTGCTTCCACACTAAAAGGAAGCGATTCATGCAATGCCTTTATCTAGCTCCTATCAGAACACAAATGTTTACACTCAAGCCTCGTGGCTGATACTTATCCTACAGCTTTGTTTTATATGGGGTTGGCCACGCGATGTGTTACCATCTTAGGATCGTTATCACAGCTGCTTTCTGACAGCTGTCTATACATCATAATGATGGTTCCACGTATTGTTTGCAAGTGTGGAAAAGAAATTTCCAAGAATGAATAAACACTATAAAGACATAATTATGGCTCTTATTCTCAGCAATGTGTCTGATAATCAGATTCTGATGAGCAGAAAAGATCCATTGGGTTGGCTTTGAACCACAGTTGAAAACATTTTTTTGCCAATTCGAAAAAATAATCAACAGCCTCATTAGACCAAAAGATACTTAGCTTCAGATAGCATACGCTAATATAATCAAGTGGGGCTCTTGAGAACCAACAATTTTGACAGCATACAGCCTTAGTTTGAAGACGATTCTAAATGGCTTTTATAGCCATATAGAAAGATCTAAAGTAAAATCAAGCTGTACGCTTGTGTCTTGAAATACATATTTTGGATGCTTACGGGTCGATTCCTTATCAAGGCCATAGTCAAGGCAAACGGCGTTCGTATCGCAAAAAACCGAATTGATGCTGAATTTTTGAATATTTTTACACATACTGAAGTCGGAATTTTACGTTATTTTGAATAAGTTAAACTTCGAGTGCTCAGCTCTGTAAAATTTAACAAATATGTGTGTACCCTGAACTCATAATCAGAATGATAGCCCAACATGTTCTTCTGTCCGTTTATTCCCATGAAAACAGCAAACTCACAAACTAGAGATGAATACGTAGAGGTGAAAGTCTTTTATTTTAAACACATCCCATTTTAATATTATCTTTGATCGATATCAATAATTAGACTTGGGTTTCAGACTTAAGGCCTATTAAATATTCAATAATTTTTTTATATTTTATTCTATATTAATTACTGTTCAGTTAGCATTGAATTTGCTTAGGTCTTAAATACATTATTGTCATACAGTTATCTGCGCTTCAATCCAGTTTTATAACTTAATTCGCTCAGAGTTAACTTTTAGATGACGAACTCTTACACACTGACAAAACAAAGTTTGGTTCTCCTACCTTATCGCAGTGCGTACCTGAAATTGTCTAGTTCCTCTAGTGCCAAATTGATAAAAACAGAACAAACTAAACAGAAACAAAAAACAAGAACAAAGCAAATATAAATAGAAAATGTTGTTGCCATGGCCTTCTGCGTTTATTGGATAATTTATGCGTGCTTAGCGGTTGTGTGATGGCCATTGCTAATCATCCAGACGTTCTTCCAAATTTCGCGCTTGAAAACGTTGCGATAGTTCTGAACAGAAACCAAGAACTCGGGTCCGAAAAGAGTCTGTGTGACAACATTCTCGGCGGCCAGGTTGCGATTCGTGGCGCTGTGGACAATGATCATAGGTGCGTTGCTCTGGAAGAGGGTTATTAAAGAAAGGGTGGCTCTATACAACATAGATTATCTGCTCACGGGCACCGTCTCGCCTTCGCTCTCGAAGCGCTTGTACGGATCGACGTGCATGCAGTACCAGTTGGTGAATGCCGTGGGTATGTCGCCATCCGGGCACAGCACCCTCTGCAGGAAATGAGCATGTAGACGAGTGAGTATATAGAGGGTGTGTGCAGTACATACGCTGCGGTGCACCAGCCCCAAGGGCAAGTTGATTTCCCCGTGCTTGCTCGAGTTGAAGGTCGTCTTAATCGCCTGCGTGAGGTTGCTCAGCTTGGGCGCGCTGTAGAGCAGAATGGGATCGTTCGTCGGCTCGACGCACTCGAGCCTGAAGCGCTGCCCGTACTTCAGCTTCTCGCCCGACCGATCCTTGTCGTCCCCGCTCACAATGCGAAACGAGTTGCGCACGCAGGGGCGCTCCGACGGGGCCACAGTTAGCTCGCAGTCCTCGTTGATGGTCTGGCTGGTGCGAATGGCGTACTCGTTGATGACCACCGACAGGGCCGGGTGCAGGTCCGAGGTGTCCAGGTCCTGTATGTTCATGTAGATGGGCATCAGCTGGATCGTCGCACCGATTGTTATATCGTGCTTGGGCGCCGCCAGCTGCACCTCCCGCTGGAAGTTGTCGAACAGCGTGCGCGCCTTCTCCACCAGCAGCTCGCCGCGATCGCGCATCTTGCGAAAGCTGACCATCTTGTCCTGAAATCGACGCATAACTATAGGAGATCTATGTATCTATCTGTAGCTCACCAGCTCCAAGCAGTTGTCCTCGAACCAATTGCCAATGCGCACATTGGGCCGATAGCGATTTGAGCCCGATTCAAAAATGGACACTGAGCAAGGCATTTCGCGTCTGTCAGAAACAATGAACTACTTAGAAAATTTATGAAACAAAATGTATTTGAGTGAAACAGAGATTTAACGTATTGTGGAAATTGTTTTGAGAGCTGTTGTTGCTGCGAGAATTTGTTTATTACGAATAGTCTGAGGAGGTAGTAGCTAAATAAAAGCCCTCCTTGACAGCTGAAACAAAGCACGGAAGCTGAGTACATAAATAGAGCTGAAGTCAGACGACGTCAGGGAGAGCCAAAAGAAATGAAAATACTACATATGAAAAGGAATAAATAAATAAATATATAATGAAATTATGACCAAACGACAAGAACAGAGAAAGCCCTGTTTACACGCCGTAGGTAATCTTGAGAATAGCCAAGAATTATTAGATAAGAATTTCAAATAAAAGGCATCGCTCTTCCGAGTTACGATCAATACAGCAAAGATGGTCGTAGCTCACTTAGCTGAGTTCAGCATAGATAACTGTACATTGACTTAAAGTTATATTTCCGTTTAAATATTATTTGCAAACTATCCATACTTAACTTTGATATGCTCCTTTAGACTATGCTGCAGATACTTTATGAGCCAGAGTTTTTATATTTCCTAATTAGAGAGCTGAAACTAACTTAAAACTTAATTTAGTTTTATTCATATACATACATATGTACTTAGCTTCTGCGTGCATTTTCTTACAGTTTTATAATCTATTGTATACTTTTAGTCGTCAGCTTTGCTCTACATGGCGTATGCGCAATGTGAATTGTTTTAGGCAGAGATATAAATATTTAATGACGGCAGAATTTCTCTGCACTTACTGAGCAAGTTCTCAAGAAGATTTGACTTGAGATAAGTAGCTGACTAATTGCATGACAAATGTAAAGCAGGAAGAGGAAGAATACGAAAAAGAATACATAAAATGATTCTCTAGATAAAATCTGCGCATCTAACCGTAGCCAGATTTGTAGCTATGAGAGCACTCTGATAAGAAGCATACACATACATAAAAATATATTGTATTTATCAATTATTTATATATATAATACTTTAAGCCGCTCGATATAAATAAAATCGTTGGCCAACATGGCGTATGCGTAATTTGCGTATATAAGATAGCGCTATAAATATTGAATGATTAGATTATTATTGTTTTTGCATGAGCAGCAAATCCTGTTATTTGCACTCGCTGAGCAAATATTTGAGAGCATTTGACTCAGATAGCGTTAGCCAGCTGAATGGCTGAGTGACTGACGAACAGCCTAGATGGAACTGTTTGGCAACGTCGTCTAGTGTCTGGTGAGTAGTGACTGGTGACTGGTGACTGGAGTCTGGTGTCATCTATTGGCCCGTGCGATAAATAGGTAACAATAAACAGGCAATAGCATAAACAACAATAAATATAAATATCACAGCGACTAAGTAGTGCAGGGATGTGGGGCAGGCTGAGTGCTGTTGCCCGGCTAGCAATAATGCGGGAGATAAGCGCGGTGTGTGAAGAGCACAGGTTTCACGGGCTGTCGCAGCTGTCGCCCCGCTCACTATCTGCATAGGCACGGCGTGCACTTCACGTGAACGTGATGGAGTCACTCGGCCGATTCGCAACACGTTCCTTATCAGGCGGCGGACTGAAACACCGGGCTGTCACTCAATTAGACTGGCCGAGATTTATGGCCCCTTTGCTGCCTCTGCCAGCTTTATTGGAGAGACATATTTGCCCAGTCATTATATCAGCACTAGGCCGCCATTCGCCATTAGCCATTAGCCATTATTATTTTTATTATTATCGGTTATCAGCGCCAGTTCAGCTCTGCTGTGCCTCACGCTTATGACTTTAGTTTAGTTTTTAGTACATTTGCCTAGCAGGCCCATAAATCTTTGATAATCCCTAAATGAATTAGGATCATATCATATCATGATCAGTGTCAAAGCACTATTAACAATAATTGATAATGAATTCCTTCAGCAGTAAAAAATAAACTTGTTAAGCTAGTTAAGCTGATGAAATGATTTCCTCTTACCAACAGCTTTTAACTATTTGCATATATATCACGATAGGCTATTGTCGGAATTATTAAAGCTTTCCGATAAAGAAAAAATAAAAATGGTTTCAAAACCATATAAAGAATCTGACAGCGCTTCAGAATCATATAAATTATACTATATAATTTAAAGCATCAGCTTTCTACGACTTTCTATCTATCCTAAAAGTCCTGCAGCTCGTATTCCTGATACTGAACTACACACACGTGTTGATGACCCAAGATACAAATCTGAAACAATTGTATTGTATATTCTATAGCTTTACAATCGAAATTGTACACTTAACCCTTCTATTAATTTGCCAAACATTATTTATATATAAGAACTAGTGGCGTGCCTCATCAAATGTTTTTGACCTGACTAAGAATTAGCCAGTGAGGAGTATTCCGCAGTCAATAGGGCTAGAATGCAACATTCTTACATTCCTTAGCCTCTTTTCTGTCTGGTACTTATATTTGTTACAAATTATATATATATGCATCTACTATTCTCTGTTAAAGTCTTGGCAGTCGGTGTCTTCAGCACCACATGGAATTCCATTGTATCTTATTTGCAAAAAAAAGAGCATTCTTCTTGGGAAACATATTGAGATATATTTCTTAGAAATATATCTTATATCAATGTAAACGTCCGGTTTATTCTGTTTACCCACCTCTAACTAGTTTTTCTGTTTCTAAAGCTTATAGAGCATTCTTGTGGCTGATCTGCGGTCCTACAACATTTGTACTCTAACCTTCTCGCATTAATAGCAATTTATCACCTGGGACGGCGTCTAACGATCGCTAATTCCATTCGACATGGAGTATCAAAGGAATATACTTCGCCTTTAATCTGTGCCACAATATAATTGCGCAATCGTTGGCTGATTGGCCACGCTTAAGCGTGTTAGCTGCTTTACTGTGGCTCTTAATGTGCTGTAACGTTTTCGTAAGACCGTACGCCGATAATCTAGGAAACAGGGTGCCGTGTGAAGCATGCTCGACTGATATGAGAAGCTTTCGTAATTATCAATCAAAAATAATTTTTAAGTAAATGATTGGCTGTCGCCCGTTGTTTTACAAAAGCTATAATAGCTGATAATAGGAAGGCTTCACGTCAAGTGGACTCAATCAATGTGAGATATAAATCTCAGCTGATAATGCTTCGTCCTCTTCAAAAATTACCTTATCCACAACGCACGCTTTGTACAAAAATTAATAAGTCAGTTTGCTGCAATCGGGACAGATCGACTTATACTGTCGATTTAGATTAAAAGTAGAAAAATAGTTTTCTTTATAAATAAATCATTGCAAAAAACATTTATAATATCTAAAAGAATATCTCTCATTTTTGATATAATATATATGATTTCCGCATCTAGCGAGCGTGAAAATATAATATAATCCTTCATCTGAAGAGGATCTCAACAATATGCCATCAACTTCAGATTTAAGTAACTTAAGTACATTGCACAGAGCCAATATACTCCCTTAACTTTGTGAGTACAATAAAAGCATGTTTATTTTATCAGTAGGCAGCAGACGCTAAACCACCTACGAAATTAATTGCGTCAAGCGACGGGCCCCATTGGCTGATTAAATCATCATTACGACTATTCAAAAATAAAATATCTATAAGCATCTAAGAGTGCGCCGCAGCTCTACGTGCGTAAACATAGGCCCAATAGATGATTACAAGTTGCCATAACTTGATTTCATTTTAATTCAATGCCGTCATCAAGAGGGAAGCAGCCCCTAGCCCAGACTTGTGGCCAATTAAACTTATCGTATTTGACACAAATATTATAAAGCTGTTTTCATCGGGCTCGTTAGAGGCGACAGACGCAAAAACAACTTAACTATCTGCGTACCGTTGGGTATGCTATTTTAAGGGGATATCTCCGAATATTTCCTAGTCTAACAGATAATCGGAAATTATTGTATATTACAATCAAAGAGTCAATTACATTTGAAGCTGTTTTCTGCCTACTTCGGAAGATATACTATATTCATACTACATTTTCTTTGTGGTTGAGATGTACACTTCATTTCCTGTACATTTTCTTCAGCAACTGTTCCAGCAATTAACAATCTCCCGTTTATTTCCAAGTTAAATCTTAATTCCAATGTACACGTGATGTTCATCAATAGTACTTTAAAAATATCAATGCTAATAAATACCATTTCACATAACCATGGGCCGATCATATTTCTATAATATACGAGACTCAATAAATAGTCTTTCCTGCGATTATCCCATGCGATAAGCGCACATTGATTTACTTGAGTGTTAAATAAACAAAATATGTACATATTTAGCTATATGTTCCATCCTCTGTATAACAGTTCTTGAGATTGTCGAACTGCTCCGCCGATAGCTTTTGTAGCTGTTGCCTGGCAAAAAGCTTTTGCCTGGAAGCAAAAGTGGTAGCCTAATGTTTGTTGTTATAGTTGTCCAATAAAAAATCATGTGACGCGACTCTTGCCCATTCATTAAGTTCCAATCGGCAGTTCAATTTTTAACGGCTCTGCTACTATTTGGCTTTTATAGCACCATAAGGTGCTAAATCCGTTTTATATTAACTTTAAATAGGTGCACGATTCGAGGCAATGGCTATCTACGGTCAGTCTGCTGTGGCTTTTATTGACCTCAAGGCTTATCGTGCTTGTCGTTGTACAATTGTAAATATCGAAGGAGCTAGCTGTACATACGTCTATGGAATGCTCTACCTGGTTCATGGCTTTAATTGAAGCGTGCTGGTCGCGCTGGTCGTCAATATGCGAATTTACTATGTAAATGTGTTTACAGTTAACTGTAAATATTGTAAAAGATGTCATACAAAAGGCCTAGCCATAATCGCTTATCACACGAGCTGCACACGCAGCTGCGTTGTCTGCCCGCTGCCAACAGCCGTTCAATGACTGCTCTCGACTGTAGAATATGCTCGTGTGAGCACGTGACATCGGCAAAGGTTGAGAGAAGGCGAGCGAATTCGAGAGAGAGCGAGAGAGCAGAGTGAGTTGAAGCTCGCATGCAACCGGTTCAGCTTCAGTTGCTTTGCTTTCGCACTTGCATTTGCAAGCGAAGCGAAACAAAGGCAAA